GCTGCGAGCGTCTCACCAGAACAGGCAAAGCTGTTGTGAAGACTAAACTGAGTGGGACTGATTTGTCATGAGGGGGAAAGCAATGAGGAAGGAGGGCATTGGGGAGGCTACAGGCATTCATCTGAGCTAACTAACATCTCTGTTCCCTTCCCATGCATGCAGGTCACACAACCCAGCACAGGCTAGCACCGAGGGAAGGGGGGAAGCCGGCCTGCTGCTTGCAGAAGGCAGGGTAGATACACACCTTTATAGACTAACTAAATAAGATCTATATAGAGCATGAGCTTTTATGCACCCAAGTTCACTTAAACACAAGTGATGCAGGAGAGCCTGTGCTCACACAAAGCTCTTATAAAAGGATGTGGGTGGGAAGTGAGGACAGCAGAATCAGCTGAGAGTGCAGTTCCCATAGCCTAGCACAGGTAGAAGCAGCTTCACATGGCATGGCATGGGCAACTGGTGCCTCCCGAGTCTGGCAGGGCACCAGATCGCCGATGCGGGGCCCAGCAGCCAATTGCCAACCAGGGGGTGTCCCCCAGTGGCCGACTGCCGGCGCACTTCCAGTTTTGCGGTTGGCACTTCCAGGAGGTGCACAGCCAATCTCAGGGGGTACGTGTGCACCCACGTGCACCCCCTATGCATCGCCAGTGTGGCATGCAATCAAACACTGGCATGCGTCTACCAAGGCACCTTGAGCAAAACTAAGGATGTCATCCTCCTGTTCCACTTGGCCTTGGTGAGACCGCAGCTAGAGTACTGCGTCCAGTTCTGCATGCTGCACTTCAGGAAGGATGTGGAAAAGCTTGAGAGAGTCCAAAGGAGGGCCACACACATGATTAGAGGTCTGGAAAGCAGGTCATACGAGGAGAGGCTGAAAAACCTGGGACTGTTCAGCCTGGAAAAGAGAAGACTCAGAGGGGACTTGGTGGCAGCCTGTAAGTATATCGAGGGTGTACATCAGGGCCTGGAGGAGCATCTGTTCACCAAGGCACCCCAGGGGAAGACAAGAAACTATGGGCACAAACTGATTGAAGATTGCTTCAGATTGGACATAAGGAGAAACTTCTTGACAATTGGAGTGCTGAGGGTCTGGAAGACTCTCCCCAGAGGTGGTACAGTCACCTACCCTGGAGATCTTTAAAAAATTACTTGATGCCCACCTTCCTAGGGTCATCTGACCCCAGCAGTCTGCCAAAGTGCAGGGGGGCTGGACCCGATGATCCTGTGAGGTCCCTTCCAGCTCCTAACATCTATGAATCTATGCAATTCGTGCAGTATGCTGGGATTTGCAAAAAACAGCTCTAAGCTGAGCCTGTCACCCATTCAAGCTGAGGGGAGGAGGCAACTGTTCCTGTCTCACCTGCTCCCTGCCCGGTGAAGCTCACATGAGAGTAACAGCTCCTGGCAGAGCAGATACAGGGAGGGAAGAAAGGTTAACCTCTCAGCTGAGCCTGCCCACACATGTAGCTGAGCCCACTAAGAGGGCAGAGGCAGTACCTGCCCCTGGTTGAACTACTCCCTCTGGCTGCTTATGCAGGAGAAGGAAGTAATACAATGATGCCTCCTTGGCATGACACGTTTTATACATGGTTTTAGTGCTAAAAATATATTCTATCCTTTTACCTACACAGTAGGGTTTCTGTTGGCTGTCAAAGGTCACGCATCTTCCCAGGACACATCTGCAAAGTGGTCCTTGCAACCTCACACCCAGATCCATTTATCACTGCTGGCCAGTTCTGATCTGTCGCCTATGCTTAGTGTCAGGCCAGTTGTGTCTTGTCTCTCATGTTTTATGGGGTTCTGAAAGTGTTTTCTCAACACCTTTCGAATCCTTTGTCATTTCTCATCAATGACAGTGAGTGTTTTTTCATTCCTTTTTCTTTTTGAGGCAGGAATAGAAAGCATGAGAGTTTCCGTTTCCCCATCAAGTTGCTGAACAGACATTTCTCTGGCATGTTTGCGCTATGCTTTGTCTCCTCCTCCCTGCTTCTAATTTAGTCAGTAATTCTGCTTGTGTTAAAAGTTCACCTCAGTTGTGGCCGTTTATTTCTGCTGACGTATACTCCTAGCATGAAGTGTCTGTGTAGGAAATGAACAGGCTAGATTGTTTTTTACACCGTCCTTTTGACACTTTTTAGTTTGGTTTCGTGAGCTGAGTGGGTGGGTGAAAAGTATTAGGCTCTGGTTACAAGCTTAACGTTCTTTCTGTGACATTATTTTCGTCTTTTGGGAGATGGTTTACTCTCTAGTAAATCTGGTCTTTTGGATGGATCTTGAGAACTTTATTTTTTTTAGAACGACCAAGTCGCATCTCACCTTGAGTACACAACTGCCGCAGGAGTGAGTTTTCTCAACCACTAACTCGAGAGATGGGTTGTGGGGATTTTTCTTTTTTTCTGCCCTTACCTTAATCCGGTGCTTAAGCAGGTGCTCTGAACAAATTCAGAGTATTCAAGAGTCAAAATTTCTACTCATTTTTCAGGCTGCTGCTATCACAGAAACTTACTAGTTTCCCCATTTTGCTGGAGGACTTCTTGGAAATCTGAACATGTCAAGACCTGATATTTCTCATTAAAAGAAAACTCTTGTCAGGAAAAGATGTCGGGCCTTTTTTTTCTGTTGTGCAAAACAGCAAAGGGCCTAGACCAGGGGTTGGCAACCCCTGGCACGTGTACCAGAGCGTGGCATGCGAGGCCATGCTGTCTGCATGTCACAACTTGCCTCAACTCTGAGCAGCTGCCACTGGCCACGCAGCCCAGGTTGCTCACAGCAGGTGGCAGGGAGGCTGAGCAGCCCAGGCTCCATGGCAGGCAGCTGCTGCTAGCCACGCAGCCTGGGCTACTCACAAAAGGCAGTGGGCAGGCAGCAAACTGCTGCACTGAGGTCTGTGGAGCCCTGGCCCAGCTCACTGCTGGCAGCAGGTGCACATATACCTCTAAGTGGACAGTGGGGGGGGGGGGCATGGCTGTGCTGCCAAAACAAGGATTGGGCACTTGTGGTTTCCCCACCATCCGCCCCTGGCATGCAGCATCTTATAAGTCCAGGCTGGAGCGTTTTTGGCACTCCAACCAAAAAACGCTGCCAATCCCCAGCCCAGCCACTTTTTTTCTTTGCATCTTACAGTCCTGACCTTGCAGAGAACCACATTGCTGAAATCAGCAACAAAACTGCATGCACACGGGTCGCTCTTACCGGGCTCAGTGCAGCACATCAGGACTATAAGTACTTTGCAGGCAGGCCAGAAGGAATGTGTCTCTCCAAATACATAGCAGTGTTAACCCTGTGGTATTATGTTCTTTTCTTCTGAAGTTCTGATTTGTAATTCTGCACCATGCCAGGGTAAGAATAGGGCAAGTTAGACAGAGTCATGTGAAAGCTCTGTGGCACACTGCAGCGTTCAGCCGCCCCATCTTTTTCCCAGCTGCTGCTAATTTGACTCCCTTAAACCACTGTTATTTTCTCCTCTCTCCACCTTTTGGCCTGTAGTTCCCACACCTACTAAGCTAGCTTATTTCTTGCTCCTCCTCAACTCCTCCACTAGTCTCTTTTCAGCATTTCTTTTCTCTCTCCTATCTCCCTGGGTTGCAGATCCTCCTCATGCAAAGCCGAAGGCCAGACGCAGCTACTAAGATCCTCTGCAGCTATGGGGAACAAACCTGACATCCCTTTCTTTTTGAATCGGAGACAAGGGGAAACATACACACTCGGGGAAAGGAACCAAGCAAGCAGCTGCGTGCCAAGAATGAGCTGAGTGTTTCCAGAGGTCCGGCAGCAGCAGCTGAAAACCATCAGGCATGAGAAACGGGTCGGTTCAGCTTCACAACACGAGAACAGTGCGTAAGAACCAATAAGGAGCTATGCCAGCTGTACACAGCCCCAGCCCTGACGCAGGACATCGGAGCAGACGGCAGCGCCTGGGCCACGCGGAAAGATCAGAAGCGATCTGGACACCAAGGAAGTGCTCCTTGGGGTCCCGGAGGGGAGAAGGGCGCCTGGACAACCAGGAGAAGATGGATGAGTGACATGGCGTCAGACCTATAGACATCAACGGCGGATGGAGGACGAAGGACACAGGAGACCGGACGGAGCCGAGGATGATAGCGGTGGCAGCCAGGGGCCTGTTGACCTACGCTCCTGTGACTACTACTGTTCGTTGTCCTGCCAGGATCGGAGGTTGTCTGCACCCCTGGGAGGCCTGGAAGCACATTTTTGCGAGAGCCAAGCAGATCTTTTCCATCAGGGGACGACTCCAGGTGCAGCGGGCAGTTGGCAGAGACCCCCTCTGTCGAGATTCTCACTAGATAGGGCAAATGTGGCAGCAGGTTCAGAGGATCCTGCCCCCAGGGGCAAAAAACACCTCTGCCTGGAGCAGGGGTGCCTCCACCCTCGCCCACAGGCTGGATCCAGTGCAGGGGGATCCAGACACGGCAACAGGGGGGCCACAGCAGCAAAGCACCCAAGCCCCAAGTGGCTGGACTGGCCCTGGGGTGCTGCCATAGTGGGATCGGGGTTACAGACTGGATCTGACTGGGAGGAGCTGGGACTGAGGGTGAGGCCCTGCCCTGGGGCCACGGGGGAGGTGGGGCGGGGTCTGCCCTGGGGCCACCGGGGGGTGCACCACACTCCTAGGACTCCATGAGCGGCGCGTGGCCGAGAAGCAGGAGGCCCCTCCCCCCGGCAGCCACATGCTTAGGGGTGGGGCCTGCTAGCGTTCTGGAGGCGGGACTCTGGCTGCCTTTTGAAATACCTCATCCCTCCCTCCAGCCAATGACAGCGGGGGGGCGGGCCTGGGCACCATGGTAACCCAACCGCCAATGACGGACGATGTGTTGGAGGTGGGAGGGCTGAGCCTGCTAGGGAACCTGTCAGCCAATGGCAAGCCGGGTGCCGCGCGGCCGGTGCTGCGTGGGCAGCAGGTAGCCAATGAGCGTCAGTGCCCGCCTGTGGGCGGGGCCCTCCGGAGTCTGCTCTCCCCCAATAGCGGCACAGGGGCGGGCTCTTGGCTCCTTTGTGGGCCCAGACGAGAAGATGGCGGGCGTGCGGAGGCGGAGCGTGGCGTTACGGTTGGCCCCACCCTCCTTCTGAGGCGCGGAGCGGGTGGTGAGGCGGGAGCGCGACTCCGGGCGGCGGCGGCAAGGC